ACTTCAGGACATGGTGGGTGCAGCCGTTGGGATAGTGGAGGAACTGACCGTGCTGGAGCTTCTCCCAAGTGCTGAGATGCCAGCGTACCATACCCTAGAGGTGACCGGGACATATCCCGTACTTCGGGTGGCCCCGAAAGACCACTCGGCGCACATGAGTCGACTGGAGGCCTCGTATTTTTATAATAATGTTGTGTGCTCCAGCCCCCTGAGCTTGTGTATGGCCAAACTGCAGCAGTCGAAGTGTGCTAGGTAAGGTCTTTTAGTGTCTTCAATGATTTTTTTTCTTTGCTATAGCAGGCATAAGGCAACTCAATTGTTATTTACACTCCAAGCCATAAGAAGCCTGCAACAAATCCTTATCTTTTGCAATTCTAATAAAAATGCATTTCCCACCTCTACAGGTGGTACAAGGAGCGGAAAGTGCGAATCACGAGCTCCATGGCGCACACCATTTTAAGATCCAGGAAGACCCCCGAGGACCTCTCCAAGAGCCTGCTTGGTGCAAAATGGTTTTCATGTGATGCTACACGTTATGGCAAGTTATATTCCAATTTCAATAGGAGTGCTCTTAATTTTTAAGACCTGGTTCTACCAACATTTCCCATGCAGGCTTGCGGACTGAGCCAGTGGCGAGGAGTGCATTTGAAGTGAAAGTCGGGGCCCGTGTTGTGGAGGTACGGCATTTATATAGAGTCTTTGAGTATATGACCACAAGTTTGGAAGTGTCAATAGCCTACAAATGTAAGGCGGCTTGCTAAACAATATGTGACCTTCGTGGCACCATTGTATGATAATTCTAATCTCCTAATTGTTTGCTAGATGTGATAAATGCTCTGTGTCCATGCTAGGTGGGGCTGCTTGTGCACAATCAGCAGCCATGGCTGTGTGGCAGCCCTGATGGCCTTTTTGCGACCGGTGAAGGAACCATTCTACTTGAGATCAAGTGTCCGCACTCCATCAAAGACTCTGCGGTCATAGATTCAACGGCTGAGGTTACCTTCGTGAAGTACCTCGTGTACGAAGAGGGTAGGCTGTGTTTACGGCGCACTCACAAGTACTACACTCAAATTCAAGTCCTCATGTACGTCCTTAACCTGGGAGAGTGCTTTTTCTTTGTGTACACGAGTGTGGACAGTGTAATTGTTGCTGTGGAGAGAGACAACATTTTCTTGGAGACAGCCATCCGGCACTTGGAAGGCTTCTTTTTTTCTCATTACTTGCCAGCAATTGTTAAGAAGTACTGTACATAATCTTCCCCATCTCCAAGTGTGTTTGTGGTTGTTTTTTATCACATGTAACATCAACTTGGAAGCGAGTCGTTTTCATAGTCATTTGCTGAAAAGGGGGGACATTTTTTTCAATAAAAAGTGCCATCTTGCATGTAGAGGAGCATTAACCCGTGTTACTTATTTGTACTTAAAATAGGATAGATAAGAGTTTTCTTGTATTGCTTGTCATGAAATAAGCTCATGCCATTCTTTTGAGAAGCCCTTTTATTCTTAGTATTGCAAAAACAAATACAAATAAACAAACTTTGGTGCCAACTACCAGGTCTATTTCAATGACTCGAAACAAAATATCAGATGTAGTTTGTTAGTGCATTCAATTCCTGGCCTATAGATGTTTTCCGTTTCTTGTGGTTACGTGGGTTCCACATCTGCTTGGTGGAACGAAAAAATGGCACATTTCAAGCTGGAATATGCGAGAAAACATAGGTGAGGCAAAACAAGGAGTAACAATCATGCATTTTTTGTAAACAACTTTTAGCGGTGCGAAGAGATCAAAACAATGTTTCACCGCATACCAGAAGTGACGCCATTCAAGATGGCTGCGCCCTTTTGGAAAAGGTGTATACAGTCTAAGCTCGTTATTACAGACCTTGGTTTCGACCAAGATTTCGGTCTGTTGTAAAAGGAGTATGTTGTATGCAGATATGAAGTTGAGTCAATGGCCGCATAGAGGAAAACCAACCAGACTCTACAAATCGGTATGTTATATCCAAGTGTCTGTCGTAACCAGGTCTGTTATAATGAGCTTAGACTGTAGCCGGCGATAGGTTTGAAACAACCTGATTTCACACTTTTGGTCTCGGGCTCATGGCTGTGATGCAATTATGGCAGGTTGCAAGTTCGCCAGAATGCAGCACATATGAAAAACATCGCTCATTACTGGTATGAGGGAAATTGGTACCCGAGTGTTTAGAATGTTGTACACTTTGATTCGTCGAATCATTCGCTCCACATGAATACGGACTTGAGCAATGTTGTACGTCTCCTCTACCTCTTGGCAACTAAACTGCCCAGCCCCTGAAAAAAAAGGAGGCATGGCAAGCACAGCATTACTGCCCTCTACGCTAGCCTTAATACCCGGAAAGCCCTTGTCTGCTAATATCACGTCACCTGGCTCAACCAAGTTCAAAAACTGGGAATCTACAGTAATATGGAGGTCGGAACAGCGTCCGCCATAGGCCTTGGAATGAAAACAAATCATCCCATTTGGAGTCACTGCGACCAGAAACTTCAGAGTGTACCCTGATTTGTATGCAGAATACAAGGCACGCTGCTGAGCCACAGAGCCCGGCTCCTCTGTGCGAACTTCGGTACAATCAATGATCATTTTGCATTCTGGGTAGTGTGCCTTAAAGCATGGGGCAGCATGGACAGGATGATTGAAGATGGTGGGCGAAAAATCCACTTTTCAGTTGCAGCAGACAGTGATGCAAGCACAGTACGAAAATGCCGTGATGCTGTGGTGCGATGTATACAAAACAACACTGCAAGTGATGAGTAGCTCATCCCTAGTTTCATTTTCATCAGAAACAAGAGGAGCTTGTTTGCCATTGATGTGTCCACCGATCGTTCTGAACCTACAGGAAGCATGCTCAGAAGCAGGGCAAACACGGTTGTGGTCACACTGCACAAGTCCTCCAATGACGTAGGAGAATGACGGACACTCTAGTAGCCTTGGAAGCACCCTGTTCTCCGGTCAGGACCAGATTGCCGTGACGACACAGACGGCACCCTGGGGTGTGTAATCTGTGTTGAGCCGTTGCCATCTTGCAGGGTAGAAATGTAGACCGAAAACTGCCCCTTGCAGATCTCCATGTCATCGGTCTGAGAACCCTAGAAGTATATGCATTTGTCACGATTGGTGCAAATAATAAAGTGGCATGACAAAGAGTAAGTTCATAACAATTGGGAGTTCTAGTGAGCCGTTAGGAGGCAAACGGTTCCCTCCCCCCTTCACCCCCCCCCCCCCCCCATTCATTAATGCAACTGTGAATGTGTGCGGAAATTGCAGTCAACTCTGGAATAGTTTGACTGGATCGTCACGGTTAGCGGTACGTGAACTAGCATAAGAGATGAAGATTTGCCTTGCATCATGGCGGATGAAGCAGGACGAGCAATGGAATGAACATCTCAACACGGCCCAAAGAAGCTGTGGTATTGTTTCGAAGCGAAAGGTTTGTCTACAAATGATTCGCCAATCCGTGCTGTTGCACTATTCCGACGCATTTGATCTCCTCGGACTGATGGGGCATCGCGGCCGCCATCACGGGTCCGACATTGTAGACCGTGTATTTCAATAGACGCAAATAACTGGTAAAATGGCACCTTGAAGGCCATTGCCTAGTCTTCTGTTGTCGTTGTACTGCTTTACATACACATGAAATTGCCACTGGCAGGCATCGCATAAACTAAAATGAGGGGCTTTTTTCCAAGAGCTCCGAAAGCAAACGTAGAGCACAACCAAACAGTCTCTTCGAAAATCATGTACAATTACTTGAAAGTGAGCATATGTACCTACTCGCCAGCTCGATTGCACCCTTTGCGTATGCCATGGTGTTTATTTTAGGTGGACTTAATTGTGAAATTGACAAGATTATTTCAAAATTTTAAAACTGCAAAAGATGTCCTATATCATGCAACATCCCCAATAAACGCTGGGGCTTCAGCGACTTACTGTTCCGAGTCATCCTCGTTTACGCTGATGAAGTGCAGCGAAGAAAAATCTAAAAAACCGACCGAAAGCTTTTTCAAGCGTAGTCCGGTCACCTCAAAACAGCTTGCTACACATCAATTATTACAAAGTCCTGAACATTTCCAACACTTCGGAGTTTAGTTACCACCCGATTGCCAAACACACCTCTGAGTGCAGCGAACCCTGTTCAGCCGACCTTCCTTCGACCACCAGGATTGGAGGTCACGCCTCAAGATACGGACGAGAGATCATAGAAGCCTTCGCGGTGCACCACAGTCACAACAACTTCGGGTCTTCGTCCCTAGGCTTATCCAGGAGGGAGATATACTTCCTGGGGCCAGAGCTGACGTCCCTCGTTTCCGCGGCTCCAAGTGATTAGATGTCAACCCCACGGGATCGTCCTTCACTGACTTGCCTCTACACCCCCTCCCATCGCTTTCCCCTTTTCCAGTGCGGTGTCTTTCACCCTCCCCTCCTTCACCTATATATGTAACTTTGGGTCAATAAACGTTGTTGCCAGTTGGAAGTCTTCGTTGTCTGTCCCCCCTTTTCTATGTATCTTCCTCATGTTTAAATCTACAAGACGTTGCCGCAGAAGTCTTTGCGCTATACTTTGTATCACCTAATGTCCGGGCACAGCGGATTCTTCGAGCCATCGGTGCCAATCCAAGGCCGTTTCACCTTATGTCCGCTGCGTCCGGACGTAAGGTGAAACGGAGTAGTGTCCCATGAGGTCCTGTAAACCACAATGTGCATGCGCATTTGTTGGTTTTTTGTTTTAGATATCTGGTTGCACATATTTTAGATAATTGTTAGGGCATTTTCGCACGCCACAGTAAAAGCAATATGTATGTGTACCCTTATGAATTCCACGTTCTGCTGATTAGAGTTCAAGAAATTCTATTAGTAACTTCAACTTGGTTGATACAGAAATCTTACCACTGAACGCTGTGCTGTTTCACTGGATTCTGCAGCACTTTCTAGCAGGCCGTCCTGCCGAACCTGTGTGCCGACAAAGTTTTGATGCCAAGCTGGGCCTGGGCTGCATAAGCATCATGAAAATTAATAAGCAGCTTGCTTAAGTCGGCAGTCAAACATCACGGTATAAAACACATCCGGAGTCTAATTTCTTTTCTTACTGGAATATTTACTGCATAAGTTTGCATATTGTAGATATCAACAATTCGAAACACAGGCCAGGTGCCATTCGGTCACTGCGAGGGAAGGGTAAGAGAGCTAAGGAGGTAAACTGAGCACTGAAGCGATAATTGAAACTATTTTGAGACTTTACCTGTCAAGCCCTGATGCTTGGTCCTGGAGGATCCCATCTGTTGCACTAATCTCCGGGTCATCAGTCTGATCTTCCTAAAAAGCAGACAGGTTTCCCATAATCCATGTGAATACCATAGTGATGCGACAAAGAGCCAAGTTGACAAACAATGAGCAAGACTGTGTACCCCAAGACTTCAGACTAGTGTCGCTTCAACACCTGTTGTGAACCTAACATGTAGGTGTAGTTATTACAAAAATAGAGAAATATGCAAAAAATAAAGTAGAAGAGCAGAGCCCACGCAGGCCTGCGGAAATGACGAGGATCTCGCATGCCGATGAGGCGGTGACCGGTGGAGCCTGGGGCGGGAAAAGCCCCGGAATGAGACCCGTCTGACACGAGTGACACTTCGAGCCGCACTGATTTACTAATGGTCAACAGCATGGGGCTGCGCACCCTGGGGGGCGGCCAGCCTGAGCGCACGGGCGCCAGTGGTTGGTTTGTGGCACCATTTATGTCGTGTAGAACGCTTTAACAAAAAATTTTAATACTACAGTGAGCACATTTGTTGTTTTCTTTGTTTTTTAGAGCGTAGCTCTTAGGGGCCCGTTTCCAGCCTGAGCGGCGTCGGCGTCGCCGTCGGCGTCGGCGTCGGCGTAACCGCGCCCCTCCCTCTCCTCCTCCTCCCCTCCTCCTCCTCCTTCTCCTCCTCCTCCCCTCATTGTGTAGTACGGTCCGGGCGGGTCACGTGACCTCGGGGGGAGGGGGTCACATGACCCGTTTCCAGCCTGTGCGGCGTCGGCGTCGCCCCTCCCTTTCCTCCCCCCTCCTCCCCCGCCAAGGTCACGTGACCCAGGGGGGCGACTCCCCTCCCCCCGCCGAAGTCACGTGACGGCCCGCCCAAGGTCATGTGATCCCGTCCCCTCGAGGTCACGTGACCCCCCGGACCTCTGTCCTCCTCCTCCTCCCCCTCCTCCCCTCATTGTCTAGTATGGTCCGGGGGGGTCACGTGACCTCGGGGGGAGGGGGTCACATGACTTCAGCGGGAGGTCACGTGACCCCCCCGGGGCTAGCAGGCATGATCACGAGGGAGGAGGAGGAATATAATCTCCACTCCTCCTCCTCAAGAGCTGCGCTCCAATTCTGCGTTACAGGAAGTTGTAAACGGCTTTCACTTTTTTCAAAACAACCATGAAGAGCTTTCAGCTAAGTTCAAATAACAACAGCCCATTTGTGCCCCCCAGAAGTGCCCACGCCTCACTGACTTGGGTCTGACAAATCCTAATGTTACATTTGACACTTGTTGATGCAAAAGCCTTATCACGGAAGGTTGTCTCTCCTCTCTGAATTCAACGGCTGTACATAAAAGGTGCAGGCCCTCATGCCCACCTCGGCTGCCGCTGCTAGTTCGTTCCCTGCTTGTGCTTGGGATTCCAGTCAAAGATGAAGCGGGACCCCCCAGACTCGATGCTTGTCTGCTTGCTACTCTGTGATGCCATCTGCAAACAATATTAGATTGATGCGAGTCACAAACAGAACGTCCTGTAGCTATTCATGCAGTGCCCGTGAAATCACGATCATAAGCTGGACGATCGCCTAACCCGGTAGCACGTTGCTTCCCCATTAAAAACATCAAATATTGAGCGGTGCCCCGAACCCCTGCAGATTTTTGCAATGACACAGGCTTTTCGATTTCGGTGTACAAACAATAATCTACAAAATTGGTGTTCAAATTTCAATTGCGGTTAATATGGTCAAAAGCAAATCAGCCGGGCAAGAAACCGTTGGCACAAAATAGTGCAAGCCACGAGGAATGACTGTTTATAATGGCAAGAGCAAGTTTGTTTGTTTTAGCAGTTTCTCATAACGAGGGCAGATCTTGGACACCGCAAATCTTAGTTCCGGTTCGATGCGGAGCACTGACCTGTACTTTGTTTTAGTCCACGCCATCGCAGAGAAGACAAGTACATATGTCTTTTCAGTTCTCGAGGCGCTTCACGACCCCCAGCTCAAGTTTGAGAAACACTGCAGTAGCATAATAACAGTTAGCTTTAAGTACAGATGTTGTTGACTTCGAAATCAATGTATTAAAATATCTGCAATTAAAATATTCAAAAATAGTGACTTTTTCGGAAAAATATACAAGGATATCAAATTAACTACTGAAGTTCAATGATACAATAACCGCTGAAGTTATAACTAAAGCTGGTCAAAACTTCACCTGTCAAACCTTGACGCTTGGTCCTGCGGAATCACTGAACTCCTCTTGTACACTACTGGAAAGAGTGTGGGGAGGTACGCAGGATGGGCTGCGATGTTGCTTTTGGCATTATTGACAAAATGCTCTGAACAGATCCTGGAGCTGCTGTTTGGTACCCATTCTGAGCCGTCTGTGCTGCAAGAGTAATCCAAATACATAGTCACATTAATATTTTTATTGCAGGTTAACACTCGTAAGGGCTCAAATACGGCACAAGGAATATCTTTTTGTAACTCTTGTTTTCATAAACTTAGTAGAAAAAAAAATTCAGATGAACACAGAAAAAATTTACACAAAAGCCACTTTTTCTTCGGGAAAAAATTCCGTAGGACCATTTTAACCAATTTGGTGTCGATTAAAGACATCGCAAAGTGACAAAGTACCGATCATCTATCAGAATTCCGCGTCAAGGCGGCAAGGAACCGAAAAAACAGGAACGTCTCAATTCGAATGTGTTACGAATTTCCTTCACCCCGCTCTGTTTGCGGCAGAAGTCTTCCTCGGGTTGCCTCAGTTTTTCTAAGTTATATATTTTTTTGCACCGATGAATTCGGAGAGCAGTCTACAAGAATAGCAACCCGTATACTTAGTACGACCGCAGGGTTCTTCACCAAAACCCAATTTTAAGCGTCAAGCGACAGCGTACTCGAACACTGCATTATTTCGGCTTGTTGGAACACACCATTGAACGGTTATACTCCCTTTACACGCCTGACAGCCGAGATCCATTTCTTACGCCGTTCCCTCCGCGACGGTTGCGAAGGAAAGCGGTGCAGTTTCACGTGTCCGAGTCCCTCGTTGTTATGACAGTTCTTCACACAGCAGTACCGGTACGTCTTCCGTTTCGTCTTGGTACGGCGATTTTCGTCGTCAGAGGGTTCATTATCGGCGTGCTTACTTTTGACCGGTGCCATGAAACTTGGTACGCAGACTTAACACGAGCAAAGGACCGTAGCAGAAGTAGAACGTGCCCAACGTAAACAACGCGTACGTACGGCGATGCAAATGGCGAAGCTGGCGAGGCCAGCGAGGCCGACTTCCCATTGCTTTCGAAGTTGGGCGATAGATGGCGCGACCTGTCAGGGCAAACTCGATTGCTCGGAGGCTATTGGCAGGGTGCTGCCATGGATGGCGGTCCGGGCGCGGTTCGTTCTTTGTTGTTCATCTGGAATGTTATCTGAAACAGCGACGACGATCGTATGAAGGCGTCTAGATACTGCCCCCAAATGTGCTTTTTAATAGCATCCTCGATCACCCGCACCGGTGCGCACCGGGGCACTGAGGTGCGCCCCTTCATCTTCGATCAAGTGCACCGGTGCGCACCGGACGTCCTCGATCAACGAAGCGCACCCTCCCGGTGCGGCTTTTCGTTGCCCCAACGCGCACCAAGAAAATCGGCGGTGCGCCGGGGGGCAATCCCATCAGGCATTGCGGCCAGGAGCGGGAATCGAGAAGATGGCGGGAGTAGCAGACGCGCAGACCGCGCAGACTATCGAGATGGCGATCTTGCAAAAACGAACACGCCTCGCAGCTGCACTAGATGATTTTCTCGGGTCTTCTGACGGCGAGACGACGAGCTTCTCACCATCGCCGCGATTACTGGCGATTGCTGCGGTGGCAAGGAGCGCCCGAAAAGCACGAACTTCGTGGAAAGCGGCGCGAGGCGTTTCGATGACAGCGAGGTACGGCTATTATGTGGTGTTTCGTTTTCTTGAACCAATAATGATGGCCGACATATACATGTGGAATTGTCACCCGCTTCGTGACCCCATCGACAATCACGTCCACGATGTTTATTTTTGTGGGACCGTCAAATCCGTAAGTAAAAAAATAGAAGAAATTGACAGCAGACGGGCACCGTGCGCTGACCTAAGCAGGAAAAAACGAACAAAACGCGAAGTGACGCAAGGTGGAGCTCGCCGCGGTGCACCGGCGCGGCGCAGTTTGTCATCGATGTTGCACCGACATCGCGCTGCACGACCGAGGAGCGCTGTGCACTGTGCTGGTTTCAGGGCGATTCCGGTGCGAGTTGATCGAAGATGCTATAAGTGGAACGTGCGGTGCATCAAGTGTGTCGTTGAGGATTTTGAGTTCGACATTGGACTACCAAGAAAGGTTGGTTACGGGGAGACGCAGAGACAAGGCTTGACTTGTTCTCAGTAACTCAGTTTTAGCGATTGAAGTGACCATTTATTCTGACTGCGAGACTCAGTGTTGAAAGCGCGTCATGTAGAAACTCTTAAGTTTCATTTAAGAGAAAGAAAGTGTTAGTATTTGGAGGTGTTGCGTTTGGATAAAAGCTCATTTTTCGCGCGAAGGCGAATTACGTGAATGGGACTTGGGAAATGTCAACAGATCATTTTTGACGAGATAGTTGGGTGAAGTAGAGTCAACACATTCGTTAACTCGCATTCGCACAACGCGCGAAGCTCTATCATGTAATGTCTGAACGTTCGTGGCACATTAAACAAAGTCGCCAGTTTCGTCCGAGTTCTGTCAACACTTTCAGCCCTGCTGGGCTGAGTCTCGCCGATCCCCAAGACAAACGAAATATCATCCGTCCTCCTGGCTAACATTCCGTTTGCCTTCGGGGACTAAATCATACAGATGCACCCTGTGTGAGGGGTACTAATGGCTGCTTTTGCTCACGCACGCCTATCGGTTGGTCCCAGTCAAGCGCAGTTAGTCCCCAGCTTTTGCGCACGGTACCTAGCTTGAACCAGATGGTCCTTTCGGGGAGCAACTGGGAGTTCAGAGGAACAAATGCTGCCGTTAGTCCCTTGAGGCCAACTTTTTTCTTGAGTGTACCTGGACAGCTACCGCCATCTATAAGCGACGGCGGCAAGCACAGAACCAGTATAGTTTCCACCGTCGCTCATAGGGGGCAGCAACCTTTCCAGCTATAATAGAAGAATGGATAGTTGGGCGCGTTTTCGGGAATTCATCGTAGGAAACGGCGCGAAAAACAGACGACGACGAAGAAGAAGCACACGGTGTATCGAGTACAGCTGCTGGTCTTCCTTCTTCACGAGAGTGGAAAGGCTGAACGTTTTTTTCCCCAGTTCCTCCTTTGTCCTTGTGCAACAGTATAGACTGCCGCACAAGAGCAACGCTATTTTCGCGCATGGCGTCACCTGAACCGGAGAAAGACTCGCTGCGTAGTGTGGCCCGTGAGGCTGTGCGCGCGCCACCGTATGCTATCACGAACACAAATATGATGATGTACCCAAAGTGCACTGCTCGCTAGCGTTGCGTGAATACACCCTATATGGTAAAAGTTGTTTGAAGTATCTTTATGTATAGCTGTCACAGAATTCAATAGCTACTTTTGTCCTTCAATGGTTATGGTGCTGTCCGTTGCCGTGTTTGTGAGTAGGGTGCGCGAGCGCTGAGGACAGGAGCGCGGGCTTAGGATTTTTTTGTTTTCGTGCGAGATCGGAGGAAGAGAAAAAAGAAGACGGGATCCCGGGCGCGCGAGGGTTGTGGAACACAAACCGCGGAGCAAGGTTGCGACGGTGTGGATGGTCGGCGCTGAGCAGGTCCGCGGCGGTATGGTTCTTCGACCACCGAGAAGGTATTCGACGGAGAGGGGTGTGAGTGCTTGTGAGTAAGTGATGTGCGTCACTACAACACCCCAAGCCACCACGGCTTCTCGACCCCGACTGGCGGCGCAACGAACCGGACCTCTACCGGCACTTAAGGCTGACTCGGCTCTCCCCCTCCAAAACTGTATGACAACCTTGATTTGACTTTTGATATTTTTTTTTCTTTCCTTCTTTCGACTGTGTGTACGCCCTGTTCGCCCTTCCCTTACTTTTCAATTATTTTATATAAAATACTGTTCGTAACGTCGGCATGCTTTGCTCTCAACTCCTCCCGCCTCTCAGGATGTCTATCGCCAAGGTGTGGTCCTAACACCTGGACAGCGGTCCAAGTAAAATTCCACATTTGTTTGTTTAAATGGGATCTTTAACATCCGAACCTGTGACAATAGCTGATCCATGCCTGTATCCTCTTTTGTCACTGCCGGTAGCAAATTGTGTATGTTAGTATTGCATACCTGCCCAGTTTCCCGTATTACCCGGAAGACTTTTGAATTTTGATAAGTTGTTCGATTGACAGAAAAACCTCCCGAAAAACAGAAATTAACTCCTCCCCTTTCTTCCCTCCCTTCCGCACTTAAAGAATTAGGTATTGTCATCACAGCAGAAGGCTGAAATCCCACGAGCATGAGCAGTACAATATATATATAATGAAATTGTCTTCATGTAAATGTTTTGACAATATTTCTTTTGAAACCCCCCTGCTTAGAAATTCTTCCGGATTTGGTTTCTCCGAACTAGGCAGGTATGATATTGTTTGTGCCTTTTCTATCAAGTGTCATTTATGTAACATACTTGTCCTTCACATTTATAATCAGTGCAGCCCTGGTCAAGCAGGAGTTGCTCAGCGAACTCCTAGTTTGAGTTCGCTGGGACGACACCACTGACGTCACGTACAGTGCCGAGGTACAGGCTTTATGTCAGATATCAATAGGAGTTCACGGTAAGTTGTCCTACCTATTTAGCAGTGTTGAAAGTAACTCACTCGAGCTTTCATCACTGCTTTCACTGACAGTTTGTTGCCTTAAGTCCTATTCTATTAAAGTTGATGCAGCCTTCACGCTTCTGTCCCCGAAGGGGGCACCTGTGAAAGCAGGTGTTTGGTGAGTGGCGTCACCACGGACCCCGAGCCATGCGGGTTCGCCCGCCCACGTCTGGCTGGGCATGGCTTTCCCGTGTCTGGGGAAAAGGGCATCCTGGTGGTTGAGCCGAGCCCGGGGTAGGTTTGGACCCTTCGGGGTCTTCCGGGTGAGGACATGTACGGTGTACCACTTCGGCCCCTGCTTCTCACAGACGGGAGTCCTGGTGAAGCCCGGCCAGGCTGCGAGCACTTAGAAAATGGTAATAGTCTTCCTTTCTTCTTCTTCCTGTTTTGCCCCAGCAGAACGCATCTTATCTAGAGCAGATATTTTTACAAATAAAACATAATGGTGGCTGACGTAGGCTTGATATTCTGGGCTTCAGGAGAGAGTGAAATTCGTGAGTGGGGCCATAGCGAGGCTTACTTAGCACCCTACC